AAGTTTTACAACTGATTTTTCCAACACAATTCTCAATCGAACAAGCTAATTGAAAAGCCTCAAATCCCTTCCATACCGTCCCCTCTCATACGTTTCTTTTAGTTATCAATTAACTCCTTGTTTTCTAATAACACAACGTTTCAAAAACCACCGTGGAGTGGAAATATCATACTCGCATTCACATTCAATGTTCAACTAAATATCCGTTTTATGTATCAACCATAAAAATACTTTTCTATTTAATCAACATTAAATACTTCACACAGTTCACACACACCAAATACAACGAAAAAAAAAAAAATGAAGAATCCCAATCTCCCACTTATCCTCTATTTTGTAACTACCTTTGCCTTCGCATCCGCGGATAACCCACTTTACGCCTCGTTTGTCCAGTGCCTATCGGAACAAGGAATTTCAAATGACGTCGCCTCGCAAATAGTCTCCAACCCAAACACGCCCCAATTTTCCACCGTCTTAAATTCCTACATCCGCAACCGCCGCTTCAACACGAGCGCCACCCCTCGGCCCGGTCTCATAGTCGCCCCCACGTCGGAGGCCCACGTCGTCGCCGCTGTCGTCTGCGCCGTGAGGCTCGAAATCCACCTCAGGATCCGCAGCGGCGGCCATGATTATGAGGGCACGTCCTACGTCTCCGGCGAGAGGAGGTTCGCCATGCTCGACATGTCCAACTTCCGTTCGATCGACGTCGACGCCGCCGGACGGACTGCCTGGGTCGGATCCGGCGCCCTCATCGGCGAGCTCTACTACCGGATCTGGGAGAAGAGCAACACTCTCGCCTTCCCCGCCGGAGTCTGCCCCACCGTCGGCGTCGGCGGCCACATCGCCGGTGCCGGCTACGGCAACATGCTGAGGAAGCACGGCGTCACCTCCGACCATGTCCTTGACGCCAGGGTCGTCGACGCCTCCGGCCGGATCCTCGACCGGGCGTCGATGGGGGAGGATCTCTTCTGGGCCATCCGAGGAGGCGGCGGCGCCAGCTTCGCCGTCGTACTCGCCTACAGAATCGCGCTCGTCCCCGTTCCTCCGACCGTCACCGTCTTCCAGATCGAAAAGTTCCGGTCCGAAGACGCTGCGGAGCTGGTCCACGAGTATCAGCAGGCCGTGTCGGCCATGGACGACGAGCTCTTCGTGAGGGTCCTCATCCAGCCGATCACCAGAAACAGAACCCGAACCGTTCGGGCCACGTTCATCGGACAGTACCTCGGCCCGGCCCAAAACCTCCTCAACGTCACGGCCCGTTATTTCCCCAAGCTGGGCCTGACAATCTCCTCCTGCCACGAGATGCCGTGGATCCAATCGGTCCTTTACTGGGACGACCGGACCAATCTCACCCGGTCGCCGGAGGAGCTCCTGAACCGGAACCCCAACTCAGCCGGTTACCTCAAAAGAAAATCGGACTACGTCAAGAAACCGATCCCCGTAAACGGCCTAAACCGCATGTTTGACGAGATAATCCGAGTCGGGCGGGTGGGGATGGTGTTCAACTCGTACGGCGGGGTTAACAGCAGGATTCCGGCGACGGCGACGCCGTTCCCCCACCGGGACGGGAACCTGTTCAAGATTCAGTACTCTGTTAATTGGGACAACGGGTCGGACAGCGAAGATTTCGTGCGACAATCGAGAGAGCTGTACGAGTTCATGACGCCGTACGTGTCGGAAAATCCGAGGCAGGCGTATTTCAACTACCGGGATTTGGACATCGGAGTTATGCCGGCGGGCGAGTCCAGCTACGGCCAGGGGAAAGTTTACGGGGAGAAGTATTTCAAGGAGAATTTTGATCGGCTGGTGAGAATTAAGACGAGGGTCGATCCTCGTAACTTTTTCAGGAACGAGCAGAGTATTCCGACCGCCCAAAGAAGCGGCGGCGACGCCGTTGCTCGCCGAGTCAATGCTTGACTAAGTTTTTTTAATATTATTTATTTCCTTTTCTTTATTTGGCTGAGAGATATTTTTGGGTAGACTGTGTCGCTTTTTAGGAGATGTGAGGTGCAGATTCGGCCACGTCGATGGACGGTCTATCTGTAGTCTTTGCTAGGTAAGACCTACTTGTTCTTGTGAAACACCAAATGATTATAATCGTAAAAGCTATAGTCTGTGTGTACGTATTAATATCTGTGAGGTATATAATAATAATATATTTTTTTCAATGTGTTGTAATTCGAAACACCCGGTTGAAAAACATGCTGAGGTGAATTAGCATGTTTGATAGATCGAAAAATGTACATGTTTTATTTATTTATTAACGTATTTTTATTTTTCGTTAGATGTATTTAATAATATATATATATATATATATGATTTATTTTCTGACTATTAAAGTATTTTCATGGACAGATATTCAACGAAATTTCACCTAACACAGCATAGGTAACTCATACCAGCCCAATTTTTAGCTAATTTGTACCATGCATGAAAATTAGGCCCAAGAATGATGTGTTGATAAATGTCGAGAAATTTACACAATTTACACTCTAGGCACAATTTAATATCAGATTTACGAACCCAACATTTTTTAATCAGATTTACGTTAGGGGATAATTAAAATGATAATTAGGGCGGTTAAATTGGCCTAATTAACCGTTAAATACAATTAAGGGCGGTTAAATACAATCTGATAATTAGGGCGGTTAAATACAATCTGATATTATCTCTTACACATGATTCTCGGGAAAAGTGATCTTCTCTCCATATTATCACTAATCCTCCTAAAAAAAAAAAGCTGAAAATCTTTCACTCTCTCCAAATCTTTCACTCTTTCACTCTCTCCAAATCTCCCAAAAAAAAAAAATACATTCAGATCTCAATTGAAAGAAAGAACCTCATCACATGAACCTAGATATCACCGGCGAACCTCCAGCATCAAAAGTGCGTCTTT